GAGAGAGAGAGAGCATTAGGTATTTAGCAAAGCAAAACTCCCACCCATTTCCAACCGCCACCACGTCACCCACAACTGATAGGTTCTTCCGGGTGCTACAGAGGAGAGAAGCCATGTTTGTCAAAGAGGGCGAGGTTGGGATTTTGCATCTGCCAAGGCGGACCTTTAAGTCTTGGCCACTGGGGGTGGGGTGACGGTGGGCGGAGGGAAGCTGTTGGCAAAGGCTACCATAGTCAGAATTATGAGCATCTGAGACCAGACGCCCTGCCCTCTCTCTCTCTGAGATGCCCTGAAATGGCAGCCACTAACCCAGCTGATGGACAGGGAATTGGGGGGGGGGGCTGCAGAACCAACGTCACCTCCCCATGAGAGGCAAGGGGTTGGGGTCTAATCCCAAGACTGCCTTGCTTGGGCAGACGGGAAGAGGGCTTTCCCCAGAAACCTATGAACTCCATAAAAGGTAGCCCTCCCCAGAGAAGTACTGCTGTCCTCTCTTTAGAACTTTGAAAAACAGATTATATGAATACCATATTTTTCCATGTATAAGACTATGCTTTTGTCTAAAATCTTTAAACTAAAAATTGAGGGTCGTCTTCTACTCGGAAGTAAGCTGAGGAAAAAAAACAAGTGGAGGGGAAAGCAGGGTTCAAAGTGATCTTGAATGGCTTTGAACCTTTTTACCCTAAATTTGCTAAGCCCCACTTAGATTTCTTAATTTTGGGTTAGAAAAGTTGGGGGTGGTGGTCTTATACATGGGGGGCGTCTTATACACAGAAAAATACGGTATACTGTCTGAGAACACAGAATTATGATTTATTATTTGTATCCCATAATAAGAACCAGTGTACTTAGTGGATAGGGTGATAGAGCCCTAGTCTGACTCAGGAGAACTGGGTTCACAGCCCTGCTCGGCTATGAAAACTCAATGGTGTAGGTCAAACCACTCCTTAAATATTCCGCAAACCCCAGAAATCCTATCAAGCTCTCTCTAACTCAGAATTCTGCACCTTGATGTCACAGAATGCCAGCATGCATTCCCTAACCAGATGGTTGAACTGTAACACGTTTTAAAATAAAACAGGCATCACCAATGTTGCCTCTAAGCTGTGGGGCAGAGCGGCTGGCTGCCCAGGGCTGTGTTGGGGCATGAGAGCCCCAGAGGAAAGAGGGCCCGAAAAGGAAGGAGAAGGCTTCACGGAACAAAAGCCTAAGAGGTATCTTCCTTGCGCTTCCCTCTCTCCGAACAGCCATCAGCTGCAGCTGGGAAGCCTTCCTTCCTTTTGGCAAACGCCGGGATTACATTTTGTGAAACCGAGGAACAAAGTCCACCACCACCACCACCACCACCAGAGCTGGCTCTGTCACAGAGGGTCTTCAGGAAACGGACCCAGTCGTGGTCCTTTCTGGCCACCCAACGAAGGCCGCAATATACTTTTCCGACAGAGAAAGGGCTAGAAAGCAGCTCGCCCTGTCTGCTAGGCAGGGCCAGGCCTTCTGCCAGGCTTGAAGAAAAACCCGGATTCAACCTCCAGCCTCTTCCCTTCAAAAGGGTCTCTGGTAGCACACCGACCGTGGCTGGCTCCTGCCAGTCTGAGATAAGGCCACGATTAGGGCTACAGCAACGTCCCCAATAAGCCACATGGCTGCGCAGTGCTGCGTCGGGCACAGGCAGCCGAGCCAGTGTGGTCGTCCATTTGCTTCCCGTCACAGACGGAACCCCCTCCACAGACGGGACGGAGCCCCTGCCCAGCGCTCGGGAAAATTAAGAGAGAACGTCGGGTTAGAGGAGTTAGGCAATGGGCCTGAACCCACATCGGGCAGCTATGTATGTTGACAGGTCCATCGAGAGACTCAAAATAGGTATCATGAAGGGCGGCCATGTCAACTCTGACTTATGGCAACCCCTTTTTCGGGGTTTTCCAGGCAGAGACTGCTCAGAAGTGGCTTCCCCGTCCCTCTTCTGTCCAGCCTCTACCCAAGACTCTCCCCCTGGGAGGCACAGCGAGGAATCAAACTTCCACCTTCTGGCTCCTCAGCCAGATACCTAAACGCCGAGTGGCCCAGCCAGCTGAGAGAGCTGGCAGAAGCCAATTTCAAAGCATCCGCTTGCTGACTAATAGCTCCATCTCACGCCGGCTCTGAGGAAGGGAGCTGCGATAGTGCAGGCCATCTCCAGATTGTACGGCCCCATCCAAGCGGTCACCTCAAAGGCCATCAGGCTCATCCACAAGTCTGCCTCCAGTCAACGACAGGCTTCCCAGTTCCGCCCCGACCCGACCCCAAAAAACAGTGTAAAGGAAGGGTGCAAATTCAGGAATTAAACCACACTAATAAAAGCATACAGCTTTTTCATAGATTGTAAAAAAGTTTGGTAAGCATTTGGAAAGTATGCCCATCTCATCATTTCTTTTCTTTCCAGAATTTCCAAATCTACCACATGATGCTCAAAAACCCATATGGAGTCATTTTTGATTTTTTTAAAAAAAATGTTATCATATTTTACCCTGTTTCTATAGAACAGTTGCCTGTCTTCCCAGACTCTAATTAATTTCTGCATTTTCCAAAAGGCTTGTAGCATCTTAAAGACTAAGAAACTTATTTCAGCATTGGCTTTCAAGGATTAACTTCCTCATCATCAGCCTAAGGAAGGGGATTCTAATCCATGAACAATTCATACAGAAATGATCTGTGAGGCTTTTAAGAGGTCCCAAGAATGTCTCAGTAATTTGGATTGATATTTGTGATACATGTGGAGCAAGCGAACAGGACTCTGCCTTTGAAAACCAAGTCAATTCATCCGCCTCACCATGTACACCCCATGCCAGTATGCCTTTCTGTTGTGGGGGAAAGAAACTTTTTCCAAAGAAACCCAAACCACTCATGTCCTTCTGTAGGCTACAAGCCTTCTCTACAACATCATCAAGAGTGTGGTGTACTTGAGGGCTCACATTTTCACACCTGTGCCATTTTAATAAAGTATTATATCCTGTTTTCTATTTCCTCCATTTTATGTAAGGAAAAGGGAAAGGTTCCCCTTGACAATTTGCCCAGTCGTGTCCAACTCTAGGCAGTGGTGCTCATCTTGTGTCCAACTCTAGGCGGCGGTGCTCATCTTGGTTTCCAACCCATAGAGCTAGCTTTTTGTCCGCAGACAAACTTCCGTGGTCACGTGGCCAGCGTGACTCGACATGGAATGCCGTTTAACTTCCTACCGAGGTGGTACTGTATTTATCTACTCGCATTTTTGCATTTTGCATGCTTTCAAATGGCTAGACTGGCAGGAGTTGGCACAAGTGACGGGAGCTCACTCCGTCGCGTGGATTTGATCTTGCGACTGCAGGTCTGCTGACCTTGCAGCACAGAGGCTTCTGCTGTTTAACCCACAGCGCCACCACGTCCCTTTCCATTTTACGTAGTGCCACAGAAATACTGCAAATCAAATAACAACAGCAGTGAACAAACATGCACACCTACTGGTGAAAGGGTGAGCTGGAGCAACGCCAGGCCTGCGTCCCCACCCTCCACCATCTCCTCCACGGGGAGCAACCTGCTTGGCAGCTGGCCTCGTGGAAGGCGGGGCCCCTGCATCCACCACACTGCAACAGAATTCCCGCCTACCTTCTGCAGATGCACATCTCACAGGGACAGGGCTTTGCATCCAAAAGGATGCACCGCTCTGGCCTCCCACTCTTAACATCACTACGCCAAAAAAACTCTGTCTTCAGAAGGATAGAGTGGGAGTCTTGTCCCACTCTTAACATCACTACGCCAAAAAACTCTGTCTTCAGAAGGACAGAGTGGGAGTCTTGTACAGTGGTACCTTGAGTTACGAACTTAATTCGTATTGGAATTAAGTTCGTACGTCGAAAAGTTCGTTAGGTTGAGTCAAACTTTCCCACTGGAATGCACTGAAAACCATTTAATCCGTATCTGCTGTTTTCTGTTCGTAGGTCGAGGCGCTGTTTGTAGGTAGAGGCATTAGTTCCCATAGGAACTAATGCAAAGCCGGTTAATCTGTACTCTACCACTAGGTGGCAGATTTTTAAATTTTTTTCTTCTTTTGAACTAAGATGAACTTAGGTAAAAAAAAGGGGCAGGAAAGGCTTTTTAATTTTTTTTCGGTTTGTAAGTCAACTTAGGTCAAAAAAAAAGGGCAGGAAAGGCTTTTTATTTTTTTTTTCGGTTCGTAAGTCAAGGCTCTGTTTGCAAGTCGAAGCAAGTTTTTGTGAACAGAGCCGTTCATAACTCACATCATTCACAAGTAGGGATGTTCGTAAGTCAAGGTTCCACTGTATGCCTAAATGGCTAGGGGGCCATTTCTGCAAACCAGCTGACACTTGTGAACCCCAACTATCTGCAGAGGGAAGTTGAAGTATTCTTGGTCAGATGAGGAAGGCACAATGTAGAGGCACTTATTAAGGTGGTGGATGATACTATGGGACCAAAGAGGGGTGACCCTAGCCAACTGGCGTGCGGGTGCGCGCGCACACAGACACACAGAGCAGGACAACGGGGCCATTAAACGTTCCAACCATTACAGCAATGTTATTCATTTAAGCCTCACTTGATCTCTTTCAGGCCTTCTTTCTGGATGACGTGAAGGATCTCTTTATGGCTCATAGGTGTGTTGGGATTTTTCTCCAGGACCTGGTAAGAAAGCACAGGTTAAGAGAGAAGATCAATAAGTGCTCTTTGGCTCCACTTGCTTTCCTTGTCTTTTGAGGCAGCTGCTGCCCCCCCCCAAAAAACCTCCCCCCATCCCATCTGCTTGCCAGGCCTCCTCCCGTCTGACCGTTCATCCCACACTGGATTCTGCCTGAGCAAAGGGGAAAGAGGGATTGGGCAAAGCATGGCAGGCTCTGCCTTCACCGTTCCTGCTTCTCCACTTCTCTGATGGCTCGGCTTTATTTGTTTGTTTGTTTGTTTGTTTGTTTGTTTGTTTATTTATTTATTTATTTAACTTATATGCCGCCCACACTGCCCGAGGGTCTCTGGGCGGCTGGCACCTCATTGCCACCCTCAGGCAGGTGGAGGACAACGCCTGCCTTTCTGTTTTATTTTGACTTTCATGGAAAATGCGGTAGCGAGGGACAACGATAGCTAGCGGGTCTGCAATACCAAAGTAAAAACCTAAAAACAGAACAGAGCACAGTTTTACTCAAAACCATCTCTTTATTTAAACTAGTTTGGTGACTACACGAGGCAGGGCCTTTTCTATAGCAGTCCTTCAACTGGACAGCTCTCCCGCAACCTGCTAAAGGAGAGGCAGGGTGGCAGCTCAGACGGCACTGCCCCATATGTTCCAGGGTCTGTAAAGCTCTGTTTTAAAACAACGTTATTCTCTCTGCTTTATAGTACATCTCTATAGGAAGCCTGGCAGGTAGGGAAAGCAACAAATAAATACTTTGGGGAGGGGTGTTTCGGTGTTCCTCAGACAGGTGACATGCATAGAACGTCACCTATTTCCAAGGCTTAACCAGATGTGACAAGCAGCAACCGTCATCACTCTGCATCAATGCAGTGCATGATGGAGTATCATCCCACATAACTGGCTGCCGACAATGGAGAAAGAGCAAAATGCTACACAAGGCCATGGAATAAACATGATGGTTCCTCTTTCTTCCACACATAGTGGCTGAAGAATCGCCCCTATCAGTTAGGAAGCCCTTAATTCGAATCTCTCCTCTGCACAACCTGTAAGATGGCGGCACACGGCCCCACGTCAGAGCACAGAAGCGCTTTCTCCTGAGGTTCTCAAGCACCCTTCCTGGACAACTATTTACTATTTCTGCATCCTGGAAAGATGTACAGAACTCTAAAAGGGACCCACAAGGCAGCTCATTTCTGATTCCAGTGCAAACACTGAACCTTGCTAGAACTGCACATGCACTGAGGTTTCTTCTGCTTAGGAAAGAAAAAGAAACACACACGCACACGCACGCACACACCACAATGCGATCGTATGCTCTGAACTCCCACTTATGCCATGGCTCCACTGATGGATCCAGGGAGGTGAGGGAGGAGCAGAGAAGAACGCAAAGCAAGAGGCTGCTGGGGGCAGAAGCTCAGCCTACGTGATGCGCTCTGTACGTGCAGGCGTCAGACGAGGAGGGCCGCTTTGTGCTTCCGTGGAAAATGTGTTCTGTCGGTTGTACTTGGAGGAGACTCTGGTGGACTGATGCACAAAAGCACCACTCCCTCCCTCTTGCACACGGGGAAAGGAGACGTTGTCCCCCTCCCGACCGAATGGAAGGAAGCAAAGCAAACCACCTTAGCCATGTTTTTCAGGAGTTCGATTGCAAGCAACAAACAGCCTTAGAAGCCGAGGGAACCTCTGGCGGAAAGCCAAACGCCTACACTTCTTCCTTGTTTCCAGAAAGGCAGGACAATAAAAGCTGCTCCCCATCAACTGGCAGAGGAGAAAACCCAAAGTGAGGTCCTGCTTCTTGGGTGCCTGGATCCACCAGGGTCTCTTCCCGCACAGCAGCATCTTCCAGAATCAGGCTGGAAAAGGCGATCGAGCTATCAAGTAATAACTGAAATCCAAACCCCATTCTTTTTCCTGAGGTGAATCCCTTGGGCTGCAAGAACTTTGCGATGCAGAAAGGAGGAACGGGATGGCAAAACAACTCCAAAGAAACCCCAGCATAGAGCAGAAATGCGACTGAGTTACGTTCCCCCCCCCCGCCTTTTACCTCTTCTGATTCCAGGATGCCAAACCAAGACATGAGTAAACTTATCACACCAGCACTTCGGTATCTTAACAAAAACAAGAAACGTCTCGCCAGAGGCTTAAAAACGTGTGAACTGGGAGCACAAGGCGAATGAGGAGCCCTTTTCGGGCCCCTCCTGGGACAGAGAAATCCCACCATCCCATCAGAGGACCCTTTGCACGCTCAGGGAGGGAGAACCGGCAAAGCGAGCCGGCTGCTGGAAGCCCACTAGGCTCGCTTCCGGACCACCTGCCCAGCCAGTCCTGCAGAGTCGGCGACCTGACCTTCAGGCCTGAAAGCTTCGTTGGCTTCCAAGGATGGCCTCTTTCTCCAAAGCTGACCTTCCCTTACACTCTCCTGATAACCACACCAAAGAAGGCAGACAGGGCTTGTCCTCACTGGCGCAACCGTGGCTTGGCTTAAGAGAGGGGGAAAGTCACCAGAGATGCTCTTGCAGAAATCTGCAAGTAAAGTGGACTGTTTGCACATTGGAAAAGAAACCACATCCTTCCTGAGTACAAACACAACCACAAGCACAGGCAGAAATGCCTCCAAAGCCAGCAGGGGCTGCGTAACCCGACTCACGGCTGGTGGTTTAGGTTTCAGGACTCTGGAAAGCTCCTTAGCACCCCCAAGCTCGGAAACCTACGCTGGCCACAAGGCACAGACAGAGCTGAAGGAATCACTACCGACAATTCTGCCCATCCAGGGAACCTTGAGGTCCAAATCCCTGTCATCAGTGAACAAGAGCCCTTCTTTAAACGACACCAGGATTTCCGATGTAGGATCTGAAATGAGTGGGGCGCCAGGACATTATTCTACTCTGCTCTTGCTGTGTTTCCCATGCATTTCTTGTAGGGATCAAAGATGTTTACAAAGGAAAAATAAAGTTAGGGCAAACTGTGGAGATATCTTGAGGGATAGGGCCTTAGGGCACAGAATCATGATCCTCCGGCTCTCAGATCAGATCACTGAATCTTGACCCTCCCAAAGGATCCTACAGAAATTCCATAGATCTATGGGGGGGGGGGATCAGGAGCCTGTGTTCTTCACACCTGACATTTATCCCAATAAAGGTTTAATTCCAGAATGAATTCAAACAACCCCCACCTTAGAACCGCAGAGTTGGATTGGGGCCCTCAGGATCATCTGAGTCCAGTCCCCTGTCAACGAGGCCCAGTGGAGGAATCGAAGTCCCAACCTCTAAACCTCTGAGCTAACCAGCACTTCAGTCTTTGACAATCATATCAAAATTCATCAAAGTATAAGTCTTTTCAGAAAGAAATAGGTACAGTATGCCACAATATTTGATTGCTCTGATGCATAACCTTAGGACAGCATAATGGTTCCCCATTAGCAAAGGTGTTAAGACCACTGTGCATTTGATGTCTCTGTCCATTCAACCAGTACGCAGAACATGCCAAAGGGGGAAAAAACTGGATTCTGAATCAATCAGAGAGCTTGGCAGACTTAGTTGCTGCCCGTCTGGTTTCCCTTCAACCATGTATTAATAAAAGGGAAAGGTGGTGTACCTTTGAAAGAATCTAAGCTGTTCAATAAATTTGTAATTGATTATGTATTAATAAAAGGGAAAGGTGGTGTGCCTTTGAAAGAATCTAAGCTGTTTTGGAAAGGGAAAGGGGCCCTTTAATTGGAAAATTGACCCAGCACAGTCCCGGTGGAGGGATACACTCTTGTGTAATCGTGCCATTTAATTTATGTTATTTTGTTTACATATGCATTTTTTTTAATTCTTGATTTGCATTTTTGTATTAGATATTTTAATTGTGTATTTTTGTTTCTTAATTATTTTTTTAAAGAACTAGATTAAATGTCTATGTAGGATTAGTGAAGTGAAGATTGCTGGAAGAAATGTCAGTAGAGACATACAGATCACATTGTATTACCAGTAGAAGGCCAAGAAATCAGAAAAAACACTTGAGACTTGGAAAGGCAGCTACGAAGGAACTAGAGTATAGATATTCAAGCACAAGAATATGTTACTGGAAACCACTGCCAAGGTGATTCATAGCAGGTCCTTCCCAATTCGTACACAAAAATGTGATAGCCACACTACGAAGAAAAAGCCTGGTTCATTCGAAGTGTGGTGGGCGACAGACAGCTTTACTGAAATCAGTGACGACCACCAGAAGAAGAAGCAGAGGAGCATGAGATCCAAAAGCATGGCTGAGCTCCCACAAGGAACGAACAGGGCCTGAACTGCGGCAGGCAACCTCCAGGTCTGCTAGAAAAGACAAGAAAAGTCAAAGGCAGCTCCCATTCTACAAACACAGTCACACTTCCCCACAAACGGCACACCCCTCATTACGACTGAAATGAAGTTTGGAGTAGACAGCCCTTTGATGCGACCCAGCCCGTTTCTTCCTTTGTTCTTATGTGGGGAGACTGAGGGCATTCTTTTAACAGTAGGACAGGGGACCTCGCTCTGGAGCCAGGGGTTCGATTCCCCACAAAAGCCCCAGCCTGTGTGGCCATGGGCAAGCCGCAGAGCCTTTGAAGGCCTCTCAAAAGGAAGAGGGTGGCAAACTCCTTCTGTGTTCTTTACACCTGGGAAAGCCAGGGAAAGGTGGCCGGAAGCTGGAATTGACTTGACAGCATATAGTTATTTAGAGCAGACTATCAAGATTGCAAACCACTTTTTTTGCATGGCTACAAACACAGCAGCTGCTCTCCAGCAGGGGCAGAGGTGCACTCCTGCACACCAGCATTCTGCCATTACAGGATGAGGACCAAGCCCCCCTACCCCAGGCCTGGCTCCGTGTTTAAGGCTTGCTGGGAAAAGATGCCCGGCCCAAGGGCACCCAAAGGAGAGCCATGGCAGAGCAGTGGCTGAAACACAGGGCTGCCCAGCCCCAGTGGCCTTCCCGTTGTGCATGGGGCAGCCACTGAACTTGGAAAGGGAAGTAGAAATTC